TATATTATATATATTAAAAAAAAAAAAAAATACATATATATATATAATTTTTTTTTTTACTGATTTATGGAGCAGTAACATTATTAAACTATTAATTTAGATTTCATCTAAATTAATTTATAGAAATCAAAATATGCACTACCACTCAAAAGTTAAGACAGTAAGTTACAGTTAAGACAGTACTACTGCAAAATATTATTATTAATTCTATTTGAATATATATTAAAATGTAATTTATTCCTGTGATCAAAGCTGAATTTTTAGCATCATTACTCCAGTCTTCAGTGACTTTAGAAATCATTCTAATATGCTGATTTGCTGCTCACAAAATATTTATTATCGATGTTAAAAACAGTTGTGCTGCTTAACCATGGTACATTTTTTCAGGATCTTTTGATCTTTGATAAATAGAGAGTTAAAAAGAACAGCATTTATTTAAAATAGAGTTCTTTTGTAACATTATAAACGTCTTTGCTGTCACTTTTGATCAATTTAATGGATTAATTTCTTCAAAAAAACAAACAACAAAACGAACTAAAAAAAACCCACTTTCTAACCCCAAACTTTTGCACAGCAGTGTACATTATTTTATTTTATTTAAATAAGATTTAAATGATAAATTAATATTTAATGACAATCATTTATACTAATACTAATTATACTAATCATTTATACTAATACTAATAGTTACAGTTTAAAAGATCATGTGAAGCACACATATCTGAGGTTCACACAAGTGGCCTGACCAAAGTCTCATTTTTGTGCATTTTACATTTTGTACATTAATTGGATCACCCTGAAGAGATGTTCATAAACAGAGACACACAAGCGTTCACTTTGACTCACTTTTGGTCAGGATCTGCAGGTCTTCTACAGACGGCGCTCCTCTGCTCCTGTCGTACGGGATCACCGTCGTCAAATACTGAAAAACAGACAAAGGTGGTCAAAAACATACCACTTTTATAGATTATTTAACCAAATTTTTTTTTTAAATGACAGAACATAATAATAATAATAATAATTCTTCGAGAACAGATATGTTTAAGATCTGAGAGACAGATGTTTTCACTTTCTTTGTGCTGATGGCAAAATGTGTAAAATGAAGCTAAAATGAAGCATTACGAATTTAGCCAAATTATTTGATAAATGAACAGACGAGGGGATTGTGTAGAGCTTTGAAAATGTTCCAGTCCTACAGAAATCTATGGAGATTTCTGCGGATGTATTTTTGTGTGGGCTTGATAATGAGTGATTATCATCCTTACGGTTCCTGGCACATGCGAGCGGTTGGATATCTGATCGCCGCCTGTGGCCTTTATCTTCCTCTTTTTCTTCAGCAGCTCTCGATGTTCTTTCTGTCGGTTCTGCACGTCGATGAGCGCCGAGATGAACGTGTTCTTCACCTCCTTCTCAAAGTCCAGCTCCTCCCTCACCGCCAGCTGATCGATCAGCTCCTCGGAGAAACCACGGATCTGTCGCTCCACCTCCTCCAGACGCTCCAGCAGCTCAGACACGCACAGACCGCGCAAGCCTGAGACAGAGAGGAGTGAAAAGGTCAAACAATTGATTAAAAAGTCTGCAGTCATTCAAAAACACAAGCTTATCTTCATTTCTACAGCACCAATATTTCAACACTACTCTCTGACTGAGATATAAAAGATCCATGTGAACTTCCCTCAAAAGTACTTAAACAGTTACCATTTTACAATTCAGCAAAATACATTACAATAACATGCCAGTACATGGGTTCCCAAACTTTATCAGCCAAACCCCTTAAGATATAAAATATTTACTTGAAGAATACTTAAGTGGTTACCACAGGGGAAGTGGTTAATATTTTAATAACTTGACACATTTGCATGTTCACTTTTCTCTGATGTTGGTCAATGGTCAGATGGCATGCAAGTAAACAGATAAAACATAAGCGTTTTATTTTGATCGTTTTCATTTAAAAATTATCTACATATAGGGCTGCACTGCAATTATTTTGTCATATATTGTGACTGCAATTTGAACTGCGATATGGCATTTAAATTCATTATTAGCTTTTGATCAACTCACAAACTCTCTGCAGCCATTTGGGAAACCCTGTGCTAATGTGCAAACTCTTTTATGCAAAGTTAAAATTGTACATAAAATATTAACAGGTAGCAGTTAAGTACAACAGTCTCACATAAGTAAGCATTTCATACAATTATTTAAGAAAACTGGCAGGAATAAAGAACCAAAACTTTAAGAGCGGTGAGAGGTTTTCTATTGTTTTGATGTTTGATCATTTAGAAAGACTGGTATCATTACATTTTAGTATCGACTTGGTTTTGAGGTATCTATACTTATAAAATCCATACTCATGAGAAAACTTGCAGGGGATTCTAAGTTGATGAAAAACTAATAAAAATGGAAAATAAAACAACGAAAATATTAAATATTTTATTTGTTTACCTGCATGCCACATGACCATTAACTGACATCAGAGAACCATGCAAAAATGTTGTTAAATTACTGAAATATTAACTTAAAAACTACTTCAAGTAAATATTTTAGGTCAAAGGGGTTTGGCTGATAAAAAAGCCATGAATATACACATGCAGTTGATCGGCCGGCCGATTAATCTGCCGATTTTTTGCATTTTTTAATTAATTGGCATCAGCCGATTGTGCTGCAAATTAGACCGATTTATAGGCAGGCGCACTGGTGGGCAGCTAAGCGTTGTTGCGGAACGCTGGAGAATCTCTCTCTGGCTGCGTGGGACGGAGCAGCTCACGCTCTGCAGGCTGCAGCAGCAACGACTTGTTCACACAC